TACATACGGAACACATGCATATACACTACCCCTGGTTAATAGTATAAGTCTTACATACGGAACACATGCATACACACTACCCCTGGTTAAGGTATAAGTCTTACATACGGAACACACACATATACACTACCCCCTGGTTAAATGTATATGTCTTACATACGGAACACACACACACATATACACTACCCCCTGGTTGAATGTATATGTCTTACATACGGAACACACACACACATATACACTACCCCCTGGTTAAATGTATATGTCTTACATACGGAACACACACACATATATACACTACCCCCTTGTTAAATGTATATGTCTTACATACGGAACACACGCATATACACTACCCCCTGGTTAAATGTATATGTCTTACATACGGAACACACTGATATACACTTTCTGAAGAACACAGTATGTAATGGACACACGGTGAAGTGCTGCATGACACGTCAATGAATGTACACTACATACTTGCCCAAACACTGACTTCTCCATACTAGTATCACTTAGCTTGACCATTTCTTTCGTATTAGATTATTAGGTCATACAATTGTTTGTTCCCTTGTCATGCTATTTAAATATTTAGCTTTTTCGTTTTCTTTCTTTACGTCATTCGTTATTAAATGACAGAAAAATTATTCCAACCCGAGAACAAAGCAACATGAGATACCAAAGAGCACGTGTCCACAATGCCATGAAAGTGATGACTCACGTATCCTAGCAACAATTTAGCTGTTAATACATTCGGGAATGTCGGTAGCAGTTGGTGTTCAACTAAAGCTCGAGAGCGGTTATACAGGATTGCCGAGTTAAAACGGTCAACAATGCATGAAATAAAATAAAAATGCGTGAATAAATAAACGGCTTTTTTTTAAAGAACTGATGACGAGCCAAACATAAGGGTTTTAATTTGGCGCAATTAGATGTTCTTTGTGTGAATATTGAAGCACCCTATCAGCTATTTCTGATAAAAAACAGATTATGTATCAACATTTTACATAAAGGCCGAAAAATCTTTCAACGATAAGGCCTTGCTAGCAACAACATGCACAAGAAAATGTGAAATACAAAGTTCATGATAATAAATAAGGTGTGTAAATACAAGTATAAACGTTTCGTAACGTACGAATATTTTACTCCATACACCAGAATTATTTTCTAGATACCAACTGTGAGTACAACATTGTGGAAATTGAAGACAATCTATAATTTATTTGACGAAGAAACAAGAGTAACTGGTATACGTCGTCCGTTATCAGTACAATGTTACCTTAAATATTAGACCTTTGAATATATTCAAATCTGGTATATAAATACTCTTTTAAAAGCGTTGTGTGAAGTCGATTCTTTTCATTTAGAACCTAGTGTAATTTCTGGCTATTACTCTGAAACGGACAATAATAAAATTGGTTTCCATTATGTTCATAATAGTTTTGTTTTGTACCAACCGTATAGTACCTTCTGCTCCATTTTGTGTGTTGCTGTCGAGCTCTGTGAACTATACATAAAACAGCCAAATTTACACTGCATATAACGACAGAACAACTTTGACCATCTTTGTGAAATTTGTATTCTTTCATAGACAATTTAATTGACCTTTTATATATGCCAATTGAGGTGAGGGGCAATGGGAAGATATTATGTTAATTTTTAGCCGCGACTTAACGGCTCTGAGTTTTGTTTTTCAAGTACAAACTTTTAGCTCATAACTGTCATTTCTTGACAAATTTGAGATCTAATTAAAATTTTGGACTCAAGAGATCAAACCCTTTCAATTGATGTATTTGATCACGCCCAAGGTCTCATAGATTAATTTACTGTAATCCTGCCTAAAATAATCTCAATTTGAGAGTGGGCTGGTAGAGATTCTGATGAGTAATAAAACCGAATCCGGTATAAGCGCGCCTCACGCTTGGTATTGCTGTCGCAAAAACATATTGCTAATAAAAAGGTCTCGTAGATTAATTTACTCTAATCCTCCCTAAAAAAACTTCAAGTTGTTTTCTGAAACAAAGAATTAGAATTTTAAATAATTTTTAATATTGTCATTTGTATTAAATATTGATAGCTTTTTTTCCACATGTCTGTTAAATTCCATGCCTTTAAAACATATCCATGTTTTTTTGTTTTTTTAAGTATACATGTGCATGTGTTTATGTGAGGAATGTGTTTTTAATGTTTTAATTCAGGCACATTCCCTTCATATTGGTGGGAGGAGATGGTTTTATATAAATATGTTTACATAATTGTAAAAGATTAGTGTTTCCTGCTTGTTTCTGGGTGATGTATGATACATTATAATCCTAATACAATTTTTTTCTATCAAAATTTGTGGAGCATACTGGAGGAATTTACACATTTTTATAAAAATGTTAGAATGAAACAACCTTTACACTCCAGATAATTATAAAAGATCTTTATATTATAACCAACGTTTCACCTTAGTAGCTGTATCAGGGTTAGTACATGTTCTATGATGAAGCCACAAAAGTGAAACATTGGCTAAAATAATAATTTTTTTTTATAATTATCTGTAGTATAAAGGTCGTTTTTTACCTTATTATCAAACTTTTTACTTTCATAAACTATGGAACATTATTCTTTACAAAAATTTAGTGCAATTCAGTATACTTTTATTTTATAAAAGATCTAACCATCCAAGGTAGTTTGAAGCTTAATAACATGAACAGTTCTTGAACAAATCAAACACATGATAAGAATTTCAGCAAATCAAAGTTACGTCACATTTTCATGAGAAAAAAATTATCTACAAACTTTACAATATGACATCATGCATGGGAAGTGGTTTCTTACGATTTGCAAAGGTTTATCACTATCATCTATAAGCAAGACTCATTAAACTATATGAAGGTATTACAATGTCCTACTAATAAAACTGCATAACTTAAAAAAAAAGGTTGAAAAATAAGTAATAGCATAGGTAATGCTTTTATCACTGACCCTAGAAAATAATATGTATTTATATATAATTTGAAAAATTTTAATAATGTGTGGATTCACTATGATTTGTGGGGAACAATGATTTAACATGAATCAGATATTTGATTACAAGTACACTTTTTATGTATTTCATACATCATTCACTTGATCTGACATTGAAATATTCTTATAACCTTGTGTAAGTAATATTTAGCACAATTATCAATGTCATATATATATATATATATATAAATATATAAAACAAAATAATGAATGGGATGTATCATTCATTACGTTTCTGGATGCTACAATTCATGAGTTTAAGTGCAATAAACTGAATGATGTTCAAATAAACAAATACACATCTTAAAATTGTGACACACATTCATAATGTAAATATTTAAGAAAATCACATTTTTATTACATTTAAAATAACAACTACTATATATAAATTCATATTGATATGGATAAGATATAGCACATTTTCTGGGGTTCAAATGTACTTTTGGTGGTGTGGTGAACGATATGTGTGCCTGTGTGTACATGGTTTTGTCTAGATTTAGTAATAACCACTGAGTAAATGTACTGTCAAAATTATAAAATCTGTATATAACTTGTTCTAATTTGCACAAGTAATTATGTTATAACTTAGAGCATCACATATAATTTGTTCCAAATGTGATAGAAACAATTCTTAGGTTGCTTGCTGATATGGTAAATGATGCATGATATTAAAGGAAGAGAGATGTAAAGAAATAGTAAATCTTTCATAAATTTTTATCTGCACAATAACAATTTAATATTATGATGTTACATACAGATTATTACAAATATAATTGTTAAAAACAATTGCTACATAATACAGGTAATGTTGTGATGTCAATTTTCTCTGTGTATATGTCCAAATAATGATGAACTTATCAACAGATTGAGTGTCCCATCAAACTGTACTTATGGATGTGCATACCATAATCAAAGTTCCATATCCTAATTTTCACAGAGCTTTAGATAAGATGCCTTATAAAAGAGTAATTAAATTAAGCTGAATTCTTATATAACTATTGAAACTAAAAACTGGATAGAAAATTAACTTTGTGTTAGAAAACAGTGGTGATAAACATGCATTTTCCAACTAGGAAAAATGTAACCAGTGGAAACTCTCAAGGGTTTATCTTAGAAACTTTCTTGTTTATTATTTATATCAATAACTTGGGTAGCTTTGTCAACAATATTTCTAAATTTGATCAAAAATCTCTTTAACCACCTTTGAAAATATAGTCCTTTCATAGAATTGTAATATGACATGTATAGTAACAAATCAAGTTTGTATGAGAAGTTTGAATAAATACAGTACAGAACTTTTAAAAGTGACAGCAATAGTCTATGACCAAGTGTTATCTCAGTAGAAAAAATAATGGTGAAATATACAAATAAACATATATATATATATATATCTAATCTGTGACACAAATATAATTTGTCATTTTCTACATGCAAACTACTTATAATGTTAGATACTGCCATGCATAAGTTAATACTAATAGAACTGGTAAACAATAAACATGAAACTGTTGTACTCTGATGATTAAACAAAAAACACTTCCTAATTTGATATTTCATATTATTTACTGTGTAATGTTAAATTTTTGCCTAGTTCATTCTATTATCATAAAAACAAATAAAATTAAAGATTAAAAAGAAAATTATAAGCCAACCTTAGTAGTACTAGTAGGCTGGATTACAAAGATTAACACCCAAGTCCTAAGTTATTTATTAAAATTGGCTTATATTTTAAAAATTCGGTATTAACTTACGGTTCTGCTTCAATCGATTTCAATTTGGCAACATAATTTGAAGGAATATAGCCTTCACCCTTGGTAGCTCTTGATTTTGCAAACCACCAGTCTCCTTGAGTATCATTTAGTATTTCCAACTGTTCTCCCTTCTTAAAACTCAGATCTTCATCTGTCCTGGCATCATAATCGTATAATGCAACAAAAATCTTTGGAATAGTTCCAGAAGCACTGTCTGTTTCTGACGGCGTTGTCTGTGAAATTGGTCCGTTTGCTCTTACAATATCATGATGTGCCTGACGCAGAGGATCGTGAGTTTGCATTCCAAGTAAAGGATTTAATGTTGGTGGATTAGTTTCAATTCTTTCCACGGGAACTTGGCCGGTGTGTGGCTCCCCATTCTTTACATTTGTACTCCCAGCACGACTAAAACAGTTCCCCATTTTTAAGGTCCTACTGATGTGATGGTTGTATCTCTATCTATCACTACTACTTTTGATTAAGCTAAGGTTTATAAAACTAAAAGATAAATTAAAACTAGAAATGTTTATAATTATATCGTATATAAAACTGAAAAGTAGCACTGAAGCCAGTAGGCCTCAGTTGTGACATTCAAAGATTCAGTAGTATAACTAACGTTAATAACACTAAACACGCAGACCTTACCTTAGCAATAGCACATTAACAGTCCTACTTTAGTTTAAATTGTACTACTACTACATGTACTAGTTTTAGTAATCCTTAGTTATATCACACTAACAGTAATTATAAAATTAATCCCACTATGATCATTATGTTTTGTTTAATCTAGTGATTTTAGTTGCCATAACTTTTAAAGTACAAAATGATCCAGCTAGTCTTGTGCCTAAAAATTAAAATGACAAGACTTTCTCACTCACTAACGCCTCTCTTTACCAACAGTTTAGCCTACAAATCGCGGAAATAATTAAATTTCTTCGTAAACCACAAACTACACATACATACGCGCTATAGAAAGTAGTGCATACATATTAATATATTTATATATACAAGTTTTTAGAACATGTAAGTAAACACTATGATAGCCAAATATCAATATACACATTTACAAAATATCTACAATAAGACAGTTTTTGTCGTTTTTATTTTCTTGCAACCATTTATTTTCTTGGTTCCTTAAATTGTGCATCTCCGCGTTTTAAGCACATGTGATTGATATGAATCAAATGTGGCGTCACCTGTCCTCACCACAAAGAAATATTTCTTTAGACATGTCATTTTCGAACTCTTGTTTTTTTTACATTCACGTAATTTCCTCTTTTTTTTTTCGCAATTTCTTGACAATTATTTTATATGCCGTATTTATAAAATAAGAAGTAATAATAAAAACTTCGAAAACGATTTTATAAACGTAAATATAATGTTGTGAGCTATATATTTTTAGTTTTGTAACCTTTCAGTGGCACAAGCCGCATACAAACAAAAACAAATTAATTTTCTAGTTTGTTAGCAGGAGAGAGCTGTTGTTTATTAGCTGACAGTCGTTGGTGGTTCGGGAAGTTTAAATAGGTCTTAAACTTCTAGAAATGTTACGTAAATTGTTCTATCATATTCAAAGTATAGATAGTTAAGATAGTGCAGAATGATTTTCAAGATAGATAGTGAATCAATCAGTGCGTCAGCTAGCAAGGTTACTTCCCAGCTAACACATGACGTTTCTACAATGTTCCTTGAGTTTAATCAATTCTAATTAAAGTCTATCTTTGATGGATCAGTAAACAGTCCTGTTCTGCTGATTTTGTGCCACAGTAAACTCACCTGTTTATGGATTAATTCATTTAGGTTAAGGTTCTCTTTCCTCGATTGATACAGAACTTTTCTTAGCTCTATATAAGCATTATAAAAGGTATTTTTTCTGCAATTATATATTTCAAGTAGATGAGTATAGCGTTCTAGATTAATTCAGACAGAACACACTCTGTTAAGCATTGCAATATAATAGATGCATCACATAATCAAAATGATGGCCAATAATCTGCCACAATCCATCCCCTTCAGATTTTCTCATACCTTTATTAATTTTCGTATTTTGCCTATCTAACATTAAAGTAATTTTCATTTTAAAATTAAAAATATTTTCACGCATCATAAAATTTTCTAATTTCACGTGCAAAATGTTTATAGTGTCCATATAGTTATCGAATGTTTCTTAAGGAGAAACGTTATATTTTATGTTATTTTCACTAACGAATCTCTACGGGTTCGATAGATTTGACCAATCTCGTAACCAACATAAAAAATTAGGAAATAAATATAAATTATGCTTCTTTCGTTCTAGAATGATTACAAATTATAACACAAAAACATAAATGTTTAGACTAAATAGCTTAAACTTCATAACATTATACATTTATATATATATATATAAATATTAATAATTTTTATTATATTGACCTTTCAGCCATGCCTGGCTAACATTACAGAAGTTGTAATGATGCGGGGGTACGCGTACTCGTGTTATCTTATGCAATAATATAAAATTGACCTTTAGTCTTTACAAAGTGACCCTGTTTTGCCTGTGTTTTAGTAGACTAATATTTAGTAAAATACAGTAACGATTCAATTATTAAACATTATATGTATATATAGATTATTATTATTTAGAAATAAGTTATTAAACTTATTTTTCTTAAAACATAGAAGCAAACAATTATATCTTCTACTTACGACCTTTGTTCTCAGTTGCTGCTTGACATAGGTTGCTAAGCCCTTTAAAATTTCGCACGTGGAGGATATGAAATGAAATAATTTTTTTTTTTAGGTTTTATGTATACAGTTGAATAACACAAAAAAAATCATAAAGTATAACGATATCATAGAATTCCACTGTAATTTATGAAGCTTAGTAATGAAGATGTATTTTGACCTGGTATAGCCAGGTGGTTAGGATGTTCAACTCCCGGGTTCGAATCACCGTCCCAACAAATTGATCGCTCTTTCAGCCATCGTGGCATTATAATGTGACGATCAATCCGTTATTCGTTGGTAAAAGAGTACCCCAAGAGTTGGGTGATAATGACTAGCTTCCTTGCCTTCAGTATTGCAATGTTAAATTAGGAAAAGCTAGTGCATATAGCCCTCGTGTAGCTTTGCACGAAATTACAAACAAAGGTGTATTTCAGTCTTAAAAAAATATGAAATTCGGAGCAGACTAAATACACAATCTACCTGCTTGAAATCTTGGTTCGAAAGAATGAGATGGCCTCCCACTGGCTGAGAAAACCACTGGGTGGACATTCTGAGCAGTCAATTGGTTATTCACATGTCATATATTGAAGAAAGTGAATATAAGTGACCATTTCCAAAATTCACAAACATCTAATTTGAAGCAGTGCTGCATTCAACATACAACGTGAGACACAAAAATCGATGTTTAACTGTGTTTTTTAACACTTACTTTTAACATTTCAACATTTACTGAGTGGGGTTACTTGCCAAAGACCATTTCATCGCATTTGTTGACTCGCATTGAAAACTTTATTGAACTACTATTTCATGAATTTATGTCAATAGGTTTGGTATCAAACTGTAGATTATCATTAAAATTTTGGTATTATACATTATTTAATTTCTTAATTTAAAAGTAAATAAAAATACACAGTTAAACTTCGATTTTGGTGAGTCATGTGGTATGTTGAATGTAGCACTGGCTCAAATTAGATGTTTGTGGTTTTTGGAAATGGTCCCTTATATAAATTTTCTTCAATATACATATCATGTGAATAACCAATTGCCTGCTCAGAATGTGGTTTTCTCAGCCATTTTAAAATGGTGGGAAACCACCTCATTCTTTCGAACCAAGATTTCAAGCAGGTAGATTGTGTATTTGGTCTGCTCCAAATTTCATATTTTTTAGATCGAAATACAGCGTTGTTTGGAATTCCGCACAAAGCTACACGACATTACGCACCTGTAATACTAGAGGTAAGGAAGCTAGTCATCACCACCTACCACCAACTCTTGGAGTACTTTTTTACCAACGAATAATGGAATTGACCGAAACTTTATAAATGTCCCCATGGTTGAAAGGGGGAGTATGTTTGTTGGGATGGGGATTCGAACCCGCGACTTTCAGATTGGAAGTCGAGCATCCTAACCACCTAGTTATGCCAGGCTGAAATACAGCTTAGTTACTAAGCTTGATAAATTATAGTGGAATTCTATGGTATCGATATAGTAATTTATGATTTTTTTGGTTATTCAACTGTACACATAAAAACCTAAAAAAAATATATTTAATTTCATATCCTCCACGTGCGAAATTTTAAAGGGCTTAACAACCTAGGTCAAGCAGCAACTGAGAGCAAAGGTCGTAACTAGAAGATATAATTGTTTGCTTCCATATTTTAAGAAAAATAATTTAAATAACTTATTTCTAAATAATAATAATAATCTATATATACATATAATGTTTAATAATTGAAATGTACTGTATTTTACTAAAGACTAGTCTACTAAAACACAGCCAAGACAGGGTCACTTTGTAGAGACTAAAGGTCAATTTTATATTATTGGATAAGGTAATATGAGTGCTCGTGCGCCACATCATTACAACTTCCGTAATGTTAGCCTGGCACGACTGAAAGGTCGATATAATAAAAATAATAGATATATATAAATGTATAATGTTATGAAATTTAAGCTATTTAGTCTAAACATTTAAATTTTGGTGTTATAATCTTTAGTCATTTTAGAACGAAAGAAGCATAATTTATATTTATTTACTATTTTTTTATGTTGGTTACGGGATTGGTCAAATCTATCTAACCCATAGAGATTCGTTAGTGGAAAGAACATAAAATATAACGTTTTTTTCTTAAGAAACGTTTGATACCTGTCTGGACATTATAAATATTTCACATGTGAAATTAGAAAATTGTCTGATATATAAAAAATATTTTAATCTTAAAATGAAAATTACTTTGCATGTTGGATAGGTAACATGTGAAAAACAATGGTATGAGAAAAACATTGCTTAACAAAACTTAAGAATTAAAACAAAACCAAAGATATTTTGCGCATGAAAGCATTCTAATGTTAACTGATAATCTGCCAAATTTTGTAAACATTCGCTTCCTAATTTAAAAGTTATAGCATGAAAACTATAACAAACATACTATAGTTACAAGGTCGATTCGACGGACCGAGCCCGTGCTGATAGAGTTAATAAGGTTTAAATGTGTTGGGAGTCGACTTATAACATATAATTCATAAAATCATAATGCCATTTTAGGTGTTAAGGACGGGTACGGGGGTAGGAAAGTTACATTTGCTTGAAAACAGTTGATTTTAGCTTTTGCATAGGACTTAACAGAAATAATGTGTATATTAATTGTTAGTAATTTTAGTAACCTTCCGGTATCTGTACTTATTTTTTCTAGACACTAGGAAATGTTAACTCCAGTCATATCTAACTTGGTTTATTACTGTGACGTTAGTCAGGTTAACTCACGTGGACAATCAGGAACATCATACTTCAACAGTATACCATGCAGCCATTACAGAAAGATAAAACAGTTTATTGATGTTTTTCGAAAGGAGCTGTTATATGTACAAACTATCTTACGAAATTGAAATGTTACTGATGATACATAATCTATCAAAATTATTTAAGATCATATAAATCCTTAAAACTTAATCTTGAATTATGAATTTATAGCACATTTAGACCCAAATATTTAAAGTGCGTGTTTTCAGCGACTTAATACTTAAGTGTTAAAGACTTTCACAAGTTAAATATATTCAAACCTATTTTCTCAAATTCCTTTACTATTTTATTTTATAGATCAAATATTAGCATTAAAAAATTCTACTTACTTAAAGTATCTTGAATTTTACAACTCAGTTTTTAAAGACAAGAAACACTTCCAAAGAATATGTGA